GGCAAAGTTCAGAACACATAATATTTTTGTCTAATGTTTCAGCACTTAGAAGAAGGTGCAAAATGATTCACTTGAGTACAAAAAAAATGGCAAGGCAATGCTCTTTCTGAGCAGTGAATACCAACGCACTTAGGGAGCTAGTTTTGAAAAGGTTTTCTTTTACTATCAAAATTTTTATCTTAATCGAAATCAAAAAAGGCTTGGCTCATCCGAAAAAAACCACCAAGACAAGTAGTTCAGATATTATTATATTTTTCATAGAACACAGACTTGGTCACAAGTAAGAATCTCGAATTATTAGATCAATACGAACTAAACACCATTCCTGAACGGTCACGCATTTTTGTGTTCTCTGGATTTCTATGGAACGTAGAGATTGATTTATCTGTTTTCAGCATGGAACAACGAAATCGTGCGTATTGGTCTTACTAAGGTCAACATGTGGAGTTACATACTTCCTGGTACTGCCACTTGCGTCTGCAACGCAAATAAACTACAATCTCCGATTTTGACAGAATATTTGGCTATAAAATGAGAACATCGTATGATAGGGAGTGGGGGAGGGAAGCGTTTAATGCATGGCTTATTTATCCAGGGACGTTCAAGAATTATTCAGATATCGCTCTCGTCTCCGAATGGAACGGCAAGTGAGTGATTGATAAGAATGAAACCGAAGATCATCATATCTCTCTGGATATCCTATATAAGGCATTGCAATGAAGATACGAACACCTGAACATGCGTAATTTACTTGTGCTGCTTCTTGTGTTCATCGTCGCCTTGGCTTCTGGGTGAGTATGCACTACATATCTGTTACTTTGCACGTTTCCAACACTACATCATCGTTGATGTGAAGGAAATTTCTATGAATAAAGCAAAAATTACAGAGCTCTCCGGGCAAAACGACAAAACGCCCCATTTAACAACAACTACAACAACAACTACCAACCACCCAATTTCTTTGCAAGCGAATGGTCTCTCTATAATAAGGACAACAACATTCTCGGCTGATAATCTAGAATGGCATCAGAATTCAGAAATGTAAATAAATAAATAAACTATTGGTGTCATATTGTGTTTAAAACTTCACTTCAGTGAAAAAC